AAAAGTGGCGGTGGCTCAGTGGTTGGAGTGCCTCAATAAAAACCATTCTGTGGATCAGCCCGGATTGGTTATCGTGGTGTACACTTTGGCAATGCATTTTTTGCTCAATCATCTCGGAACTAAATGATCTGCTGGTGTAGCCGTGCCGTAAAGTCAACCCACCAACCACCCAGGCAGCCTAAACAAAACCATTGTTCAACGTACTACAGATAGAAACAGACCACTTGTGTCTCGGTTTTCATCACTCTCATATAGGTTACTTCTATTATTCTTGATGTTGTTGTTTTGTGCCTAACACCATTTTCTCAGGGCATGATATGCCATACAGGGCTGCCAGTATAGCTAGCGGAGGAAGAACCAGGAAAACGCATGGCAAGAATCACCGACCCACAGGGAATTACTGACAAGATTTCTCACATATACATACTGGCCAAGCCAGAAACTCGAACCTATGTGGACAGAGGTGCGATGGCAGTTATCGGTAAAGGTGATTGCTTTTTTTTTTTTTGTTTGTTTCTTTCCTTGATATAACATTATCTGACAACAATGACAAAAAATTCTTTAGGACATTTACCCGAACTGAGAGTGAATCTTAAGTCTGGATATTTTCAGGGAAGTACAGCAATCATTCAAAGCGGAACATGCAAGGAATTATGGTAAAAACATAGCTATAGAAGAAATATTGATAAAGACTATTCAATGTGTTTCACCGAACTTTGATCGGTTGGACATTTCAGTGCACCAGAAACTGCCACAACAATAACTTTAGTGAACTCTTTTGTATGACGGTAAAATAGAAAATAACTCTTACTCCAAGTATAAGTATTGAGAAAGGGCTTGGTGGTACATATAGAATATGAGATACTTTTAACTTCTGTAAGAAATAAAGAACTTCCTTGGAATTATCCATGGATGAAACTTTGTACCTCTATACCTCTAATTCATACGTGATTCCAGTCAAGATTGAATATTAAATGACTAGGATGGGGAGAGATGCGTTTGGAAATATATGAAGGACAAATTAACAGAAAGGAGAGGAAAAGGAAAAACGAGAATTGATTATTTTGGGTATAGAACAAAAGAAACATTTTGATGAGCAATTTCAGAATCAAATCAATCCGGCCTCAGTAATCATTCTGGAAGCAGACGACCGAATGCCCTTTGCTCGATAGGCTCACACCTTTACAAAACCTAGAATAATAGAGCTAATAAAACCATTACTTAACGAAAGCCTAAATAGAAAAATAAAACATTCATTAAATGCAAACACAATTTTGAAATAAATAATAATTCGGCAAATATTGCACTAATCTTGTGGCCTTGTTTCAAGGGCATATATCCAACAGATGGCGCTACGTATAGGAGTTCTAATTTTGAAGCAAAATAATAATACGCAAATAATGTATTATTACACCACATCATTAAAGAAAGGAAGAAAAGAAAAGCTATGAAACATCACTATCATCAACCAAATCCAGAACGCCCTTGTATTGCAAAGGATATCGACTTTCACAATTCCACATTAGATCTGCCGTAATTATATATATATATATATATATATATATATATATATATATATATATATATATATATATATATATATATATATATATATATATATATATATATATGTATGTATATATATATATATATATATATATATATATATATATATATATATAACACATGCAACTTTATATATATATATATATATATATATATATATATATATATACCTATATATACCTATATCTATATCTATAGATATAGATATAGATATAGGTATATATATAGGTATATATATATATATATATATATATATATATATATATATATATATATATATATAAATACATATATATATATATATATATATATATAAAGTTGAATGTGTTATATATATATATATATATATATATATATATATATATATATATATATATATATATATATATATATATATATATATATATATATATATAACACATTCAACTTTGAGTCAAGTTCAATACTGAACACATGGACCGTTTTATCGACCCCGGTCTGTTCTATTTAGCCCCAAGACAACTCCAATTTTCTTTGAAATATCGTCATCTGTTACCGAGATTGCATCTCCCCTCTACCGTATGCTTTACATTCTGCAGACATGGTACTATACACCTGTTACGAAAGTTCGATTTTTAAAATTTTTTCTTCTTCAAATACCCAAATGTTACCCAATGTGGACATTATTGACTCTTGATTCATAAAAATATATATATATATATTGGACAAACGTTGACCTTGCTAAATGATTTTTTGACAGATTGTACAGTCATTATCGGTGAACGTGACGAATACACGTACTCTCTGCATATTATAAAACTTTAAAAAGTGTGTGTCAGTCAGACAAAATGCGCATGCACTTTTGTAGCATTGAGGTAAAGTATATCCTTACGTCTAGTTATAACCAACACAAATCAACCTGATATGTATGTATATGTCAAGAAATAGAACCGATTTACATCTAAATATAACGGAATATTTCCAAACCCTTTGAAAACAAAATCAGTTAAATTCAGAAGTGCATTTATAAAAATAATTGAAACTGGAAATGTTATAAGCAGTCACGGTTTGAAACTTTCCTAAGTTATTTCATCCACCTCTCTTCTCTAATCGTGAATATCGTGCCATTGTTACCTTGTGGATTTTTAATCAGCTCCTCAAACCGTATGGATTTTTTTCGATTTTGATCACTCCTGAAACCGTGGGCTATAATGACTATAGTGGCTAGCAAACTCCAGGAGTTCAAGTCGTTAGATTTCTTAGAAATTCCGCATGAATACGCCATTTCGCAAAGAAGACGAATAGCCGATGGAGTTGCAGGTGTATTAAATAGAAATATTATCATATGCAAAATAAATTTCTGGTTTGCAGACATATTAATAATGACACAAAACATGAGGGTATTTAAAAGTTTATTAATAAATAGTATTGTGGTTAGAAACCTAGAGTATTTTGTGAAACCAGGAAACCGATGTATCCAGCTTTTAATATACAAGATTTATTTGGTGTATAAAATATAACTAGGCTATCCTTTGTAGGCATTTTTCCTCTGAAATCAGATGTCAGCAAATCTCGCTTTTAGCGAGCGATGTTTGGAAGGCCCATCTCAAGTAGCGAGTTCTTGGCATAAAATGCACATGCACGGAAACTTGTTTAGAAACTCTACCGTTGAAGTTTGAGAATATTGGCAGAGATGAAATTCCTATACTCTGTCATTTTACTACGGAGGGGGCAGCATATCGCTTGCTCCTACGAGGGAGGGGCAGCATATCGTTTGCTCCTACGATGTTCTATGCCTATTTTCGTCACTAAAGCGAAATATAGTAATCTCTCCTCGAGTTCAATGAAAGAAGTAAACTCTGAGAAATCTGTATTCGATGTTCCTAAAAATGTTCGTTTGCGTTTTAAATATTTCCGGGAGGAATATGTAAAACTATCATAAAAAGTGACATTTAAACTTTGCTAACATTTGAATATGTAATAACTATAACATGAAATAGTTTGAGTTGGCAACGCAAAAACGAAAAATAATTGTTTTTCGTGGCAAGGATACATATGCGCACCAATGGTGTATCATTCGGTCATTTCTGTCAGGTCGCGAAATAACCTCCATGATGTGATTGGTGATTCGCCTTTGACTGAGCACACCACATGTGTAACAGCAGCAAGGACTGAAAACATTCTGATCATGACTTCGTCTCCTTCCTCCTCGTGGTTGGTTTAATGTAAACGAAAGTAGTTCAGAACATAGTTCTCAATAGCAACAAATTACATCTGAAAATGTCGACAATGTTCAGATTGACACGATCGCAAGAAGCTTTTGACTGATCGTCTGTCTCAAGTGCTCCACAATACACTGATAAAATATACCGTTCTGAATTGATTTTCTGAAGCAAATACATAAAGGTAGCCTATGAAGTCAGGAGAAAAGATGAGCATCGGACCAATAATATCAATAACCTTCATGGATGATATGAAAATTACAACCAAGTCAGTACTAGATGGCAGATAGGTGTTAGAAGATCTAGGACACCTGATGAACTAACTGGCCAAGATGTCAATCAAGTTATCTAAGACAAGAATTATGGACCCGAAGAAAGAGAAGAAGAAAGATAGATACAAGTTTAGAACAATATAGGAAGTGATACCAACGATGAATGAGTAACCACTTAATACACATGGTCAGTGTTTTAAGGACTCTGTGAAGGACATTGGGAGTGTAGCAGAAACGATGCGACAAGCCAAAGAATGTATGGAAAAGAGTGTGCTATCTGGGAGGTACAAGGCTTTCTGTTACCAGCATGGTAGTCTACCAAGCATCATTTTGCCAGTTCTAGTATAATGAGTGCTATTGAAGAATGTAAAAGCAGTCGAGAAAATACATATCTGTACTATGGATGGGAGTGTTAATGGGCAGCTTCAGTTACCAATATCATATGTGACAGAGGAGTTCAAGGTGACTAAGGTTGGACAGGTGATGATGCTCAAAGATTGTGCAGATGAGAAGGTGAGAGAAGCAACAGTGGAGGTACGTACGTGTATGAAGTGGGTAGCAAAAAACTCATTTGAAGAATCCGAATCCAGACTGAGACAGGGTGACATGGTAGGCACAGTAGCACAGGAAGCTTCTGACTAGGAGCCTGAGAAGTCAAAAAAGCCAACGTGACAAGCAGCAAGTATCAAGAAGAAGCTTGCCATGGACAAGAAAGTGTGTGTGTGTGTGATTTAGATTTTTAACGTAGCTTTAACAGTTTTTCGGTCATATCGCTATAATGTCTGCAATGTGGCAGTTTATAGTGATGTCTAGAACTGGGGAATCATGCCGCAGACATGTAGCATGATGTCCCACCCAGTCACATTATCCTGACACCAGGCCGACCAGTCCAAACACTAACCTCATAATGCTGAGCGCCAAGCGAGGCAGCTGTTAGTGTCATTTTTGTAAGTCTTTGGAATGCCTCAGCTGGAAATCGAACCCACGACCTTCCGCATCAGAGGCGGACGCTCTAACCACTAGGTCACCGGAGTGGTGGTAAAGAAAGAAGTAGGTCTTTCAGATGCTGTCGACATGAGAAAACAGGGGTTTAGGCCAGTCTGGAAAGGTGCCAGGTCCATGGAAACTATCTTTTTGTGACATTGGGAGAGTTATCAAGACAATACAACTTTTTTTATTCATATTAGAAGTTTCCTCATTTTGCTTATGCTGTTTTTGTATAATTTTGGCAATTGTTAAGATACAGATATAATACAAGGTTTAAAAACTATAGCTCTATACCTTTAAACTTGTTTTTTAATTCTTGACATATCAATTGAAGAAGTTCTATTAAGAGGCTGCAGTAAATTATGCGTATGTTTAAGTCATTGATGCCAGTTTAAAATCAATTGAAAAAATTCTAAACAGTATAATATAAGATACTTAGAAGTATAAATCTGAGAAAGAAAATTTTAGATTCTTAGTGAATCCGAAGCATGATTAAATCAATAAAGAAATTCACTCAGCACCATGATTCCTTTAAATGGTGAAACTTTTCGTGAAGAATTCTAGTCTAATATTTCGAAATATATCGTACTCATCAAGTATGTCAGATACACACTGGTCTTGTGAGTTCTAGAGCTTTCTTACCCATCGGGTATTTGGCACCCACCCCACGTAACCCCCAAACACACACGCCCCATTAAATCCCCTGCTCATCCCCTCATCTTGTAAAACTGGTATTTTGTCTCCGATAATCCATACATGACGGGTGCCAGGAAAAGAAAATTGGTTGTCTGGTGTAAAGCAAGTTTAACTGCTTCACTAATGTAAATACACATTTCTTTCATTACCTTATTCAGCTGGCCAATTTGACGATTTTCAACATGGCTACAGTTTTCTTTCTGGAAAGTGTGAAACCAAACTATATGATTGAAAAGGGGAAAAATGTAACTTTAAGAATTTTCAATATTGCAACTTTATGAATCTAATGTGTTTGTGTGGTCTCATATATTATTGATAAGTTCAATCACTTTACAGTCAATTTAATGCAAGTTTTGAACATTTATCTTCCCTTGGAATAAATTCTTCTCGTATCCTACAATCTCCTAAGTCTATTTTCCATGAAAGAATTTTCTGTGGCAAAACCATCAAGTACGTGTAGCTGATTACATGGAATTTGGTCTGTTAAAGCACAGCGAATGTCTGTTCACTTCGAATTTGGTATCTTAAAGCAAAGTTAATGTCTGATCACTTCGAATTTGGTATGTTAAAGCACGGAATCTGAAAGCAAAGTGTCAAAATCGAGGACTTCAAGACTGTCCACCACCGAATATTTTATTCTCAGACACAGCCATTAATGTCAGAAAATAACATCAATGAGGCCAAGAAAATTGGTTTGGTCCACTTCTAGTCTTCCGATATATGCTGAAGATGGGCGCTTTAGTGTCAGTAGATGTCTACACGTAGACCGAAAGCAGTAGATGCAATACATTAGTTTGTACAGTCTAGACATATGAATGAAGATGCACGCGCTTATTCTGGCCTATTCCATTATAAAAATCAAATCAGAGATCTTCGTATGGCACATATCTTACAGAGACACGAAAAGGTCTGGTTGAAAAGAAAAATATATGGAATAGGCCAGATCTACACGAGTGATGGGGAATGAAATAGTTCGTTGCAGCAACGACACTTCGATGAGTTCCTCCTTATGTATTATGATCCTGTTAGTGGTATAATTAGTGTGATCACATCAACTGGTCAAAAGCTGTTTTAATGAGAAATTATATATGTACCGACATCATAAAAACTCAGGTTAAAATAACTCAGCGACGACTAAAACACTTTTGAAGTCTCAATCCGGGCTTTTGTGGTAGCAAGACTGTCATTCCTATCTTGTACCGAAGACAATATGGATCAGCAACACCGATATTAAATTCATACACTCAGTGTGAAATTTAGAAATTTATGTGTAACTTTCGGCAGTACTGTGTCATTACAACAACGTGCATTAAACATATGCAAGACTGCATAACCTGGGACTGAGACGCGTCATCTCTTTCCACATGTTTCTTTTCGTTGATGGAACTACAGCATTGGAGTGTTTTTTTATTAATTCCTAAACTTGAGTTCTTTTCTATCTAGTTCATCTCAATAACTATATCAGAAACTTCAAAAAGTTCATAAACACAGCTCTTCGAATCGTCCTTTGGATATCAAGAACCGAACACGTCTCTCCCTGCTCTGTACACTTCACATGGTACCCGTTCCCTCCAGAATCAAACATAAAATCTGTTCTCTATGTTATATTTCGTTGATGGTCACCAATCCGAAATACCCATATGAAACACCCATGTGTACACCAATTCTATACGCTCCTCTTATGACACTCTCATTATTCCAGATATCAAGTCCTATGGACTATAGTGTTTTATCAAGTCCTACGGACAATAGTGTTTTATCATGTCCTATGGACAATAGTGTTTTATCAAGTCATATGGACAATGGTGTTTTATCATGTCCTATGGGCAATAGTATTTTATCAAGTCCTATGGACAATAGCGTTTTATCAAGTCCTATGGACAATAGTGTTTTATCAAGTCCTATGGACAATAGTGTTTTGCATACCTCTTGATCTTGAAATTAAACACAATGACACTGTGACCTCATTCAAAAGTTCTCAAAAAATCACTATTTCTACTGCAAGAACAGAATCAAAGAATAAACAATGTGTCTTTACCTTTAATTATTTTCAGAATACTTTGTATTTTGCGGTGTTTATTTTAGTGTGTGTGTGTGTGTGTGTGTGTGTGTAATAATATTGTAAAGTGATGAGACCTTTAAAATTTTAATCGCAGTTCTTAGTCTTCGTTATTATTATTATTATTATTATTAGTAGTAGTAGTAGTAGTAGTAGTAGTAGTAGTAGTAGTAGTAGTAGTAGTAGTAGTAGTGGGTTCCAAGGGTTGTTATCGCCGGGGGCGGTTGTGGGAGATAAGCACCCAATTAGAAATCCCCCAATGGCTTGCGTCTGTGATAGCCTCTGACAACCAAATCCAGCTCCAGGCCTTCACGGGTGGCTTAACTACTAAGCTCGGCGGAACCTGTTTAAACTAACTGGAGAAGGAATGGCAGACGAATTTCTGGCGCCTCAAAACCAGATGCTTCGGGCAGATGGGGCCCGTTAACCATGGGTGGTAGCCCGTCTAGGAGAAGGTAAACTCTGATTTCAAACCTTCGCTGCCTTGCGACTATACCCTTACATAGGAAAGGCTAAGGGAGTAAACCCCAACAGAAAATCCGGAGACGGAGTCCCTAAGGCGACTTATCACTGCATTTACTGACATCTCGGCAACTCCTACGACGCTGCTGGTGCCATGACGTATCGGCTTGTCCTTTCCCTTGGATCCATCAGCTGCGTGGAGAGGGGGAGTCAGTTGCATGGGCAACAGCTGATTCTCCATATAACCTTGCCCAGGCTTGCGCCCTGGAGAGGACACTCCAGCTTCGCTTCACAGCGTTGACTCAACACGGGAAGCAACAGTTACCGGTTATAATTCACCACTCAATTGGCGTAGAGTTAGACACCAGGGGTTGCTTCCGACGGTGGGAGAGACCAACAGATCTCATTGGACAGCTATCGCCCGCCTCAAGCTGGGCAGCCCCCAGCCAATAAGGTGCCGTCCCGCCACAGCTCGCCTGCCTTGCTGGGTGCGCAGGGCTTAAGATACGTGAGTACCTGACAAGCGGGATGCAACTACAGCACCAAGAAAAAGCAAACGAAAAACAAGGAAGTCAACAATCCTCAAGCTAGGTACCTGGAACGTCCGGACTATGCTGACAGGGCTTTCAGATGATCTCCAGGCAATCAGTGATGTTCGTAAGACTAAAGTCATCAACGAAGAACTCGCAAGACTCCATGTCTATATCGCCTCACTTCAAGAGACACGGCTACCAAATTCTGGGTTCTTCAGAGAAAAGAACTACACGTTCTTCTGGCACGGAAAGAGCTCAGACGAAGTTAGGGAGTATGGTGTTGGTTATGCTGTCAGAAACTCTCTGCTGGCTATGATAGAACCCTGCCAAAAAGGGAATGAAAGATTGCTATCTCTTCGCCTCCACACCACAACCGGGCTAGTTAATCTAATCAGTGTTTACGCTCCCACACTCAGTGCCACCACATATACCAAGGATGCGTTTTACAACAAGCTCGATTCGCTCATAGACAATATTCCGAAGGAAGAGAACCTGATATTACTGGGCGACTTCAACGCTAGGGTGGGTGCCGATCACGACTCCTGGCCTTTGTGTCTCGGCAAGTTTGGCATTGGGAAGATTAATGAAAACGGGCAACGTCTACTAGAAATCTGCTCGTTCCACAACCTCAGCATCATCAATTCATTTTTTTTCAGACAAAACCACAGCACAAAGTGTCTTGGAGGCATCCCCGATCCAAACACTGGCATCAACTGGACTTGATTATCACAAGACCTTCAGCCACGAAGGGTGTGCAGCATACTCGTACATTCCACAGCGCTGACTGCGACACCGATCACTCTCTAGTCTGCTGTAAATTTAAGCTTCAACCAAAGAAGATCCACCACTCTAGGCAAGTGGGTAAACCACACATCAATGTGAGCAAGACGCCATACCCAGACAAGGCTGAAGAATTCACTTACACCCTCTCCAAGGCGTTCAGTTCAGAACCTCCCTACGGCAGTGCCAAAGAGAGATGGGACAACATCAGAGATACTGTGTACAGTGCAGACACTAGAATCTTTGGTAAGAAGCAGACAAAGAACAATGACTGGTTTGACACCAATTCCGCCACACTCATGCCAGCAATAGAAGAAAGTCCCAGTGCCCACCTGGAATTCAAGCGTTCTCCCTGCGAGAGGACACTACATGCATATAGGTCTACCAGAAGCAAAGTGCAGAGGTTTTAGCACGGCAATGCGCTAATGAATACTGGCTTCTACTCTGTCAGAGCATCCAGTCAGCAGTAGACAACGGAAACATCAGAGGAATGTATAATGGCATAAAGAAAGCAATG